ATCATGCTGATCATTCATAGCGTAAACATCGAACATTAAGACGTTCGATGCCACTTTCATGCGATAAAAAGAATTGTAAGTAGGGATAATCTAAACTCAGAAAGACGCATATGTACTGTAAAGTGATATTTACCTGCCCTCTTCAACCGTTTAGACACTTGATATCATGATAGAATTTAATGTCCTGCCTTCTGTGCCATTCAGTACTGCCCAAACCTTTGGGTTTCTCTACAATTATCAGTTTTACGGTGCCTGTAAACCGCCTTCTCTCATGTCAAATTCATAGCCTGAGGGTAAAATATTTATTTATTTATTACTATTTATTATCATTCCTAGGTACCAATCCGCTAATTTCAGCCGAGAATAATCCTACCTCTGTGTCTTCGTGTTGAGTACCACCTTTGCGCAACTTCTCACGTTCCTCGTCCTGGCTATTGCCCGTTTTTATCTGTCATAGATAATGGTCTTTACTCTCGAATATACAGGCACACACTTTTTTTACGCCTAAGGACAAGCTGTCACATAAATTACGTGTGTCTTCATGGTAGGTTATCTCAATCCTCACCTACTGTCACTAGAAGACATAAGTGCTGCATGTTCATATAATGGAACATCCCAGCGGAACACGTATGCAAACGTCTACAAGTTGGATAGGCAGAAGTATTGTCGCCCCATTAACAGAAAACCAGGTTCGTATCTCGACAGTATGTGTATAACCCGGAAAAGTAAAGCTTGAGGTTTATACTTCTATCGTAACAGTTTGTACTTTTAGCTTGGAAAATGATGAAAAACTTATGAGGGAATGTGTAAATAGGCTGTTTATTTATTGCACTTCATTGATAATTGCAGAAATGCATAATTTATGTATGTTTATACCATTTCACATCGCAGATTCATAATCTTGATGGATGTTATGACTGAGAGCCGAATGTCTTCGTTTTTCCAACTCCAGCGTCTAGTAGCAACGGCCTTATTTGAATGCGTGAGGTGGAGTTCCAAGACACCTTGTCCGCACGTGTGAAAGTGAGGCAAGAGGAGAGATGGCAACCACCAAGTCCGCTGGAGTCATTGGTTGTCACACTGACCAGTGAGTCAGATACATCGAGTAAAGAAGCTCCCACTGCCACAGCCTCCACCCAAAATGAAAAGAAAAAGCAAAATGCCGGACGATGCCGGTCCTATGAGGACTGACGACGCTAGACTCAACCACGTAGGCGGTTCTCTGGCGAAAGTACACAACCAGCCCTCCCCTCCCACCAGGCACACTCTAACATGTACGCACAGCAACGTCAGGGGGCTAAGAGGGAAGGCAGCAGAAATGAGGACGCTGCGTGGACATCAGCACCCCGACATCATATTCATCACCGAACCCTGACTCTCGGCGGACATCTCCGACGAACAGATGCATGTTACTGACATGGAACTCTTCCGCAGCGACAGAGAGCTCAGAGCAGGAGGGGGAGTGGCTCTCTACGTGAGCTTCCGTTTAAAGGCAAGGGGGGTTAGCGATACGGCCTTGACCCAGTTCCCGAAATCTCTGTGGTGCTACTTCACTCTTCACCGTACCAAATACCTGCTCGGAGTCATATATCGGTCCCCCACCAGCTCCCCTACACATAGGGAAATGGTCATTAAGGCGATCTTAATGACTTCCTCTGCAAATTACGATTCCGTGATCATTGCCAGCGACTTCGACATCCCGTCCATGCTCTTCGAGACGGAAGGGCGACACATCACATCCCTCAGCCAGGGGCTGAAGAATGAGATCAAGAATGCTGACCTCTTAGGAACAGTGGGTGATGCCACACGTTGGGGACCTGTCGGAAACGCATCATGCCTTGACTGCGTTCTGACGAACGATGAACTTCTCATTGAGGACGTTTGCATCCCACCTTCCCTTGGTCTCAGTGACCACGCAGTAATAGCCTTCTCCATGATTGTTTGGGAGGCTCTGCAACTGGAGGCACCCAACACCTTCCCTTGAAACAGCAAGGCCAACTATGAGACCATGAGGGACTATCTCATGAATGCTTCATGGCCGGTAGACTGGACTCATCTCACAATAGATGAACACTGGTTAGAGGTGAAGAAAATAATCACCGGGGCCATCATTCACAGTGTGCCGGAGGTAACACAGACTATCAGTGACAGCTTTATGGCCAAAGCGTGGGACAGAGAGGCCTACCCAGATCGAGAAGCAGGCTTGGTTCAAGTGACGTTCATCACTCAGGGAGTCTGACTTCTGAACTACGAAAGGATCCGCGACCGCTGCAACAATACAGTGTGCAGCGACAGACTCTACCATCAAACAAACCTGGCGGAGAGGTTACAAAGCAATCCCAAAACCTGTACCGCTTCATGTCGAGAAGGAAGTAGACCAGTAAGGGAGTAAATCTTATCACAGGCCATGATAGGAGTGTACTAAGCAGTCTGGAGGTTGCCGAGCTTTTGAGTTCACACTTCTAAGACCAGCTGAGTACCGACACAAAATCCGCAGAACCCATTACTATACCAACCAGGTCGTTAATAACGGATACCTCCGCCACACCTCAATCGCAGAGAAGAAAATGTTAGAGAAACTATCTGGGCTACGCCTAGGCAAGCCCCCTGGCTGCGATAACCTGAAACCGTTGATCCCAAAAAATGCACCGAGGTGCTTACTAAACCACTTCGCAACCTCTTTGAGCACTCAGTAGACTCGTGCAAACTCCCTAAAGAATAGAAGAGTGCCATCTTGTCACCCATCTTCAAGGGAGGAGACAGAAAAAGCCCTGGCAGCTACAGGCCAATTACCCTACTCCCTATTGTGTCGAAAGTGTTGGAAAGCCTGGTAGCTGACACCATCTATGAATTCCTGAATAGGGAAAACACTGTCCATACTGCTCAACATGGCTTTCGGAGTGGTCGTTCATGTGCCACCAACTTACTAACCACCTGGGACGACTGGACACAAAGCTGGAATAACAGAAAACCGGTGCATGTTGTACTTCTCGACCTAGCTAAAGCATTTGACAGTCTCTCACCCACAGTACTGCTCCACAAGATCATGTCAGCTGGTGTAAGTGAACCCCTACTCTCTTGGTTCAAGGAGTACCTGGAAGGGAGGCAGTTCTGCACTAAAGCAAACAGAATAAGGTCAGAGTGGAGACCCTCGACGTTAGGAGTATCCCAAGGAGCAATCCTAGGACGGCTTCTGTTCCTCCTGTTTGTCAATGATTTGCCAGATAAAATATCCTCACCCATCCTCCTCTTCGATGATGGCATAAAAATTTGGAGGGTGGTAAACGAAGAAGCTGATTGTACAGCGCTACAAGAGGACTTGGGGCAACTCGAGCTCAGGTCGTCGGAAAATGGCCTGAGCTTTAACTCGGAAAGATGCAAAGTAATGCACATCAGTAAAAATGAGGCAAGTACGACCGACTTCCAGTACATGCTGAAGAACCATGCTACTACCATAGTGTCCATGGAGAAAGATTTGGGGCTGAACTTCTCCGACACCTTGGACACCAGTTCCAACTACAAAGGTATGACAACCACAGCGAATGCCATTCTACACTTTCTGCGTAGACAGCTTGGCGCTCTAACTCCCGAACTCCTCCTCACCATTTTCAACTCCTACGTGCGGTCACATCCAGAGGTCTTCAATACGGTGGCTCCTTCAGCACTCAAGAGGGACTCTTATCTCCTTGAAAAGATGTAAAGAATAGCAACAAAGTCAGTTGAGAGGCTGAGAGGAAAGATGTATCCTGAAAGACTTAAACACCGAAACCTATTTACCTTGGGTTACCGTAGTAAGGGGGGTGACATTATGGCACACAAGATCGCCCATCAGGCAGACCACACAAACAAATCAATTTTGCCTGCAACTCAACGGTCTTTACGGGGAAATACCATCAAGACGGCACACCAGAAAGCCAACACCATACTGAGGTCAGTTGTTTTCTCCCTGAGAGTATGTACTTTATGGAATGCCTTATAGCTCCCTTAGTCGACTCATTCAAGAGACAGATGGAAAGTTATGTCATCTCGCATGCTCTACCACGGACGTACTGAGGTAGTCACCAACCTCACTAGCTCACCCCTATCTCTGTCCTATTCACCAATCACAATCTCTCTCCTTAATACACACATATTATCTACAAATTCTCCTGCAGGAACCAAACCCACGCTACCACTCGGGCCATCCCCACATACTTTTCCCCCTCTTAGATTTCTCTTCTCCATCCCTCCATTTCTTCTCCTTTTCATTTTTCTCTTCCTTCATTTTCTCTTTTCCTCTTCGTTCTTTTATCACCACCTCACTAATTTCTTTCAGGCGCCTACACAGACAGGAGTTACGGCAGTCCCCTAAGCATCCCAACAACCCGTTGCTCCCCGATCACTCTACGAATTACAGCTTACTAGTCCACAAAACATCGACTGTACCGAGGCTTAAAGCTGGTGTGAACCGAAAATCTCGAACCAAGCCTTAAGAACTAGGCATGAGAGATAAAAAACTATCAGTTTTCTACGCTCGCACTATCAAAATTGGATATTGGAGTCGCTAATTCCAAAGCTATAAACAAAAAGACGCAAAAAATTCTACGACCGTCGAAGGGGCAAGCCCATATAAAAGGAACGGAGTATCAAAAACTAGGAGCGAAAGCTCAAAAACTACAAGTTTCCTCTACTCGCACTATTGAAGTTGGATGTTGGCCTTGGAAAGAGGCGGTACTTGAAGCCTTATCCCGCTGATGATTTTTAGATGTTTTCGTCTACCCACACGTCTCAGTAGTTTATTCTCTGGTCTCAGTGTTAGAAGGATAGAAATGAAAATCCTTAATGTTGCTGAAAAGAATGATGCTGCAAAAAATATTGCTGAGATTTTGAGTCGTGGAGGATCGCGCAGGGTAATGTGATTGTCCCACTTATTGCTTCATATATAGAGGGAGGGATTGTCTAAATACAACAAAATATATGAGTTTTTTATGAATCTCAGTGGTCAGAACGTTACTATGCTGATGACTTCCGTCTCAGGCCATCTTACGAATTATGATTTCCTCCCAAATTATAAGTCGTGGTAATGTTGCCTTTTCTTTCGTGTTAATTCCTAGGCATTCTTGTGATCCAACTGTTCTTTTTGACGCACCGATTTCAAAGCATGTACTCAAGGATTATGAGCCAATAAAGGTTAGCAAGTTTATGCTGAATAGGCTTTTATGTGTTTCTCAGTCAAGATGTTCACAGGAGTAGGAGAAATGTTTTGCAAAACTACCTGTTGCCTGGTTTCACGCCCCTAGGATATTTCCTACATCAGACTTTTATCTCACTTGCGTGTTCTGACCACCAGGCATCACGGTCCCTGAGTAAGCGTTGTGTAATCTTTCGCTTAAGACACGCGAACCATTGTACTCGTTATCCACCGGAATGGCCCAACGAGTATCAGGAAGTTGCAAGAAGCTTGTAGAAACCCATTGTCGATTAGCAGGACGTCCTTTCAAGATGCAAGCAACTTTACTCGCCACTTGCATGGCGTCTTGCAAGTGAAGCCAATGCTCTCCCACACTTTCTGCAGGTTGATACCTAGCCTTAAATCAATCTCTGATTGGTATTTGGCTGCAGTATTAGGTGCAACTAATTTGCTTGCATTGATCTGTTTAGGACGATGATTTTGATGACCACCAAACGCAAGATGAGCTTGGCCCACACTAAAGCATGATCAGAGTCCAGAAAGGTACCCCATATGGAGCGACTCATGTATATGCACCCACGCCATCGGTAACTGACTGCAATATGATCTACTGGACTCCAGGTTTGATTGGAAAAGGTAGGACGCCAAGTAGCACGATGGCAATGGCTGTGCCGAAAGTTGGTGCTGGCTACAACAGGTTGTGATCTGCGCAAAGCTGCAGAAAACGTTCCCATTATTCGACCTGCTGCCAACTAGTCCCCATTGGCCGCCTAAACAACTCTCCTCTGAATCTAGACACCGACGTGGGCATTCAAGTCCCCAGCTAGCACTGCGACATCTGTTAAGGGCACTCAGTTGAAAGATGACTCAGTTGACTGTAAAATTCCGCCCTGGTTGCATCTGGGCTGCAATCCGTCGGAGCATAGGCAGAGATGACTAAGAGACACTGTTTCTCTTGCGGATTACTTCTTAATCGAGTTGAACTTTCTAGCCTAGCAGCGCACAGACGACTTTTGATGTGGATCCAGTAGAGTAGTGCAGCTCCGGCTTAAGGGCTTGATGTGACACCCCCACTAGCAACCCCGGTTGCCGATGCCATAAGGTCCCCGGATAAGCGCACATGAAACATACTTTTCGAGCTGACAGATGAAGAACTAGTTCAAAGCACTTCACTGGAATCTTGTATGCTGGTTTTTGTTGTTCGATCTGTGTTGCGAGACTCTAGTTTCACATAAAACCTGATTATTGATCTTGGTATGGGGATAGAGAGAAAAGCCTAATTTAGAGAGCGAATAATCAAAATACACTTTATGTTTTCAGTCTACAGTTAGACAGACAGACGCTGGATCAGCCAATCAATATTATTATTTTAAACAGTGAACTATCTATATATTAGCTATATTTCCTTTGTTTGGCCTTTTTGGTCTTTCGACCCTAATACACGTTCCCACACGTCCATCGTGTCTTCTCCATTAATTAGTCGGGTCGGGAATCAACTAGGAATTTGTTGTCGATATCTCTGCATTGTTAGCGGTCAAAGCATATAGCAGTCTCCAAATCATAACAATCTGCATCAAGGTGCGAACATTGAAGGTTGCGAGCCTAAACGGTGTGCTTGGTTTCAGGATAGCTGTATCAGATGTCGCACTGGCGAACAGCTTTATGGGGTTAACTGTTGGTAACAGAAAGACTTCCTTTTTATTACTACGGCGTTGCTAGGTTCTTGTACAAAAATCATTATTCCTCTTATGTTGGGAACTCGCTTCACAATGCTAAATGTCTTCTGCAAACGGTCTATATTTTTGAGGTCAAATTTTATGTTCACAAAACTTGATTACTTCTTTTATGATCACTATTCTCTTACCATGCACTGCTATCCGATTCCCCAAAAAGAACTCTAGTGGGAAGTCTGAAGAATGATCTACAGATGTGTCGCTTAACGTCTGCAACAAAGTGGATAGCAGCGTGCACGTGGTAATTGATTTTTGATTTCGATAAATACCGAACTGTTTCAGTGATATGGTTTTTTTCCTTTCCTCTCTCTCTCTCTCTCTCTTTATATATATATATATATATATATATATATATATATATATATATATATATATAAAGGGAGGACTTGTGAAAAATTGCATCCACTTGGTTGTTTTCCAATGGTTGCCAGACGTTAGCCATCACTTTCTCTGAGTACTGTAGATATTGAATGAATATCTTTGGAATACTATTTAATAGGGTTTATGACATCCATTAAAAGCATCGTGTAATTAGTTCTGAAGTCCAACAGTGTGTATGGACATGAAGATCGTCATCTTCTGAGTCATATCATATTGAAATATACTAGTTTCAGTGGCATGAACATGTGTTACTAGTATTATCCCAGTGGCTTGCATATAATTTACTGTTTAGAAGCCATGGAAGTGATTGGAAGAATTGGTCAATCTATGCAGTAAGACCATGAAACGAAGGATAGTTATACTGGTTTAGAATCTGTCGGTGCATCACCACTCCTTAGATAGTGTCCAGTAGGTGCTGGTACTCAGTGGTTCGAGACTTTCTTATACACTATTCAATCGAAGCCAGTGATAATCATATTGTAACTACTTTGTTTCTTCTGCTATCAAAAACCGAAACAAAAGTGTTGAGCGCTTCTTAGGATGTATGCTGAAGACTGTTTCTTTGATAATCTACGTAATTTTCTGCTTATATTTTCTTCCCTTTCTTTTATGTGACTACTACGTCTTCCTAGTTTTGTTACAATTTTTTTGATTCTTTCCTCGGTGCCTATGTTACCACATATGTCAGTATTAATATTCTAGGTTAATAATGCTATTATTTTTCTTCATTTTGAAAACATTTTAGAATATTGTTGATTGTGCCTATTTTTCAAGTAGCATTACAGTGCACTTTTTCCAAACTGGCAACCATTATACGTGAAGATGCATCATTACATCTTTTCTGTGTTCTCACGGATTTTTATTTCAAATGTGTCCAAGAGATTTAGCATTATCTCTGATAAAAATCGAAGTAGCATAGAACATCTAAATGTGGCGAACATCAAACTTTATCGAATAGTGCTACATTAAAACAATACCTGTTTTTTTCAAAATAACTGCTATTTTTTTTTCAAGAAGTAAATTACTGAGCACTCTCGGAAGCGTTTTATTGACAAATCAACTGGTTCAATTGCCTTTTGATATCTAGCCTAAACCGAAGGTTCAGTGTGTGGTAGACGATTTATTTTCTACCAGTTCTGACAGTTGCTCAGCTACCTTTATTGAGGTTTTTATAATGTGTTATTTCGTCTTCATACCTGAATATACATGCTGTATGTTATACTTCTATCAGTCAAATGATATTCTAATCTGTTATATCTATCATTTTTTTATGTTTTAGAATACATTGCAGCGTGAAGTACGAGGTTGTCAAAAGTTAATCATATGGACTGATTGTGATCGAGAGGGTGAAAATATTGGTGTAGAAATAATTGATGTTTGTCGAGAAGGTAGGTATTTGTCTGCACCAAGATAACGACAAAATCATCTTGGTTATAGTTTCCCCAAACATCGAAGTTCTTCGTGCTCGATTTTCTGAAATTACACCTGTGTAAGTTAACTTTTTTGTGAAAATATCTATTAGGTGGATTTGAAGGCATTAAAGTTAGAAAAAGTTTATTCGCAGTCGTAAGGTAATTTATTAAACTAGTGGTCGGTTGAAATTGCTTTATGTTTCTATTGTCTATGAAGTTAGAAGCCCAGTCTCCTGCTCATCAAATATAGATTAGGTGGTTAAGATTATTTTAGTTAGTTATCGCCTAGCACGGTATGCACAGAATTACGTTCTTTGTTGTGAACGTGTTCAAGGTGTTAATGTTCCCTCTTTTTGAAATAATGAAATGAGATGATGATTGAATCTTCTGACTAATGTACACATTTTCTGATCATTCCTGTCTATCACCGCATTTAGATAATATTCTCCACACTTTAAAACTTCACTGGTGTGCAAACATTTACAAATACTCTTTTCTTATTCAAGGCAGCAGCATGGATTCAACTAGATATTCCTCCATTTAATGACTTCGTAATCACGTGTTATTGGTGAGCATAAGTTGAAAGCTGTTTCTTCAAATATGATAAGGTATTTTACTGATTTGCAGTTAGGCAACCATTGGAAAATCGGTGTTTTCAGTCGTATGATTTTAAGATATGTTTACATGCCTTAAGTTCCCAGTTTATATGTACTGTATGTCTTACTACCACCTAGCTTGCAAATAGTAGGGAAGTTTCCGCCTCGAAAGGATACCTGCCTACGTACAACATTACACCATTACGTATCAGTTTCTGAAAATAATATATTAATTAATCTTATTACTTGTCGGTTTAATAAATCTGTTCTAACAAAACATATTCCGGCCCAACTAATAGTTAGAAACTGATAATAAGATGTATGTGTTTGTTAGACTGAATTCAACAGATGAAACTCATGTAAACTGCTTTTCGATCTAGCATCATCTATGCCTTCGATCACTTTATACTGTTTTTTTTTTCATAATAGTAATAATTATTTATAAGATATATAGGTCTTGAAGTACTTTTCACTTGACGTCAGTAAGCTCTCTTCATTATGGAGCATTGTGATGAGTGTAACTGTTGTTCTTAGCTTTAAGAACTTAACTCCAAATCATGAACTTAAGGAAGAGAACATCTGGTAAATTCTCAGCATCCAAGTTCGACAGACGGAGAGATAAATCAACGTAGAATCGCACAGAAGTACATCGGTTCAAATTACCACACTTCATAGTAGGATGCAAAGTATAAGTGGATAGAAAAAGGTTGATATCAAAGTAGCATCTAATTAGCATAATCAAAATACTTATCGTTCATAATGTAGCATACAAAATTGAAATGGCTATTTCAGTTGTACTCTGATGTTGATTAACACAGTGTATATATTGAGGATATTTCAGTTTTACATCTATGTAAATAAATACTTGTCACTTACCATTACTACACTACCTGAACCATAGCACTAACTGCTGCCTTGTGTATTGGAAACGTGGCTAAGTTTTAAGCTATGTACCAAACAAAGGAAACATTCGAAGTAATAGGCATAGAATATGAACTGTGACGAAAAATTGAAGTATAGATAAGTAATAATGGTGTAAATTTAACTATGATACTGTCAACTGTACTATGCTATATTTATCAAGTTTTCTTAAGAGCTGTATTTACAAACTCTTGGTGTTTTATGTTTCTTCGATTTAGTCTTGATCAGTTACGTGTAATATTGTAATTCGAGTTAATAATTCTCTTGAATGGTAGTATATCTTTCCGAAAATTAATTCATTAGTATATATGAGCTTTGTTCATTATTTGACTAAGTATTTTGACAAAAATTGAACGCTGAGTAAACAGTCAGTATTATATACGTTACATTTGTAGAAATCTCTGCATATTTGAAATAAGACTATTATTCACACATTTCATTCGAAAATGTGATTCAAGCTGCTTCAGAAAAGCACCCAGAGGCATTCAGAGAAAGACTAATTATGATGTACTCAAATACATGGATAACTACCAACAGGTTGAATAGATGGGAGAGAGTGCAGTTACCTGCAATTCGGCAACTTTTGATTACTAAATGGGTAAACAACAATAGGAAACAAAAAAACCAGCAGTTTGTTTTATTTCCTAGTTTCGTTTTGATCGGTTTCTATTGGCATATGGGCTCGTATGCAGATGCCTCGATATACCTGTGTTTTAGTTATAATCGGTCCGATCAACGACGGTATAATACAAGCAATAAAACTAAAACTATACCTATTCGCACAAGAAGTGGCTATCGTGGCTCGGTGGTCTAGTGGATAACGCTCTGGCGTTTGAAGCGATCGCTCCCGAGTCCGAATCCCGGTGAGAACAACATCATTCACTGGGAGGTAGGTACATAGGACGGAATGCGCATCCTGAATTCCACTGCTAGCCACTATCCATCTTTACTATCTTAAGGAAGTTTGAAGAAGATTTCTGGGTATAAAACACTTTTCCAATGTTTATCTTTATAGAGCTATACATCGTGCTGTTAACCAACTTACAACTCCTGATTATAACGCTAGTGCAGCTGTTGATGTTCGACAAGAGTTAGACTTACGCATTGGTGCTGCCTTCACAAGATTTCAAACTTTACGACTAAGACGAGTTTTTCCTCGAGCGTTAAGTGATCAATTGATCTCGTATGGATCTTGTCAATTTCCAACACTTGGTTTTGTTGTAGAGCGTTTTCGTGAAGTTGATCGATTTGTTGCAGAACCATTTTGGCGTATAGTAGGCAAGTTGTTTTTTTCAACAGTACACTTACGCTTTATTTGCCAGTTAAAAAGGTTATTAGGTTCTATCTAAAAGTTATTATCTTTAGGGTTTGTCAAAAGTGTGAAGTAAATAGCATAGATACTGGTGATCATTTTAACCTGTTAACAAGATAAATGTCCAGTCACTACACTGATGTGAAGAATAGCAGGTTTCAAGAGTGAGCCAGTTGTGCCAAATTCTTAGTTATCAATGTGCTCTTTATGGCAATTAGCAGGAATATTTCGGTAGTGAATTTGCTATTTTTATCAAGTTATGATCCATTAGTTTAAGTATTCTTCTTTCAGTTAATGGTTCGTATATAAAGATATATATTGCTGAAAATTAGAGAACTCTAGAAAACCTTCAGTAATTGACACTATCCACCATTTTGCAGGGTACCATTCAAGTCTTAATGAGGATACGTTATTCTTAGTTTACTGGTCAATACATTTTAATATATTTGATTTGGACTACAATGAAAGACTGTCTTCAGTTATCGTTGACAGGTACATATCTTTACTTCCACAAGTTCGTGTCTACCAACTCAAGTACTGTTTACTTGTCAGTAAAATTAGACATGGTAGATTTAGATTCAAGAAAGTTTATGAGTGTGACTACTGATGATTGGTTAAACACTTTAAGGCAGATTCCCAGTTCAAATTGTTCCACAAAGACTCATTAACCGGTAAAAGTTGCTGATCAAAACTACCTTTAGATGAAATTTTCCTTGCCGGTAACGTAAGAATGCAACTCAAGGAATGTAAACTTGTTCATTAGTTTTATTTCATGCTATGGTGATAAACCAAGGGGCATGCTATATTCCCCTCTTATTCGAGTTGTTATTTCACAGGTCATTTTTCCTTATTACAGTTGTCTGTAATACTTGTAGTATTACAAAATATCAAAATATTCATTTGTCATGGTCTTATTTACTAGGAATAGGTTGTTCAAAGCTTGTATAATTGACTTTGGTTTCATAGATTTCTATCATTACCATTATAAACAGATGATCCAGTTCTACTACTTTCTAACGTCTAAATTCATACTTTCAGTTACAGTGTCACGGAATGAGAAATCAACTGAATTTCAATGGCAGCGGTAAGTTAAGTTTTTCTCCTCTACCACTCGTTGTTAAAATGTATTTTTTTTATTGTTCCATTTGTGATCGTTTGTTTACTGGCGTTTTCTGTTTGTTTTTAATAGTGGACGTCTTTTCGATCAAGACTGTTGCAGAGCATACTATGAGCATCTATGTCAGGTATGTTAATAACTATATGCATAGTCTTAGATTAATTTTGGTCTTATTAAAAGCTATTAAAACTAGTAAAAACCAAGTAAATTACCATAATTAACATCCAGGCAATATCAAGGCATCCTCACAGGAGTCCATATGCCAATAGAAGTCAAACAGTTTGATCCAGTAAAATAATGCAAAACTATGAACATATCGACAAATAATAATAACTAGTAATGCATTTTTGAGATGAATGGGGTTTTTTTTTTAAATTTAGTAGTATTCATCATGGACTGACATCAGTTGGGGAATCATTGAAAATCTGAGACCACTGGACAGCTGTTTTAAGCTGGTATGGGACTTCTCAGCTGAAAAATACATTGCTGTATAGTGCTCATTAGTGACTTACTTCCAGATGGATATCAGGAAGCTCTAATGAGAAGTCGTGACCTGTGGGGTCAACCAGTTGGAAGTGAAGTGGATGCTAGTTGAAGACCTTGGGTGATAGTCACGATATGTCGTGAATTGACGGGAGTTGGAAGTTGTGAACCACTGGAAGCCGACCCAGTAGCTGAGTGGTTAACGCGTTCGCCGCGAAACTTGAAGGTCCTGACTTCGATCCCTAGCCGGGTTGTGGGTGCGTACTACTGAGGAGTCCCATACTACGACGGGACAACTTTCCAGTGCTCCCAGATTCTCAATGGTTCCCCAACTAATGTCAGTCCATGATGAATACTACTTCTAAGTTGAATTTAGTGTTTATTGATGTATTTGTCTAGTGTTATTGTTACGAGTCATGAATGGGTCAGCGTTTCTTAAATTTGAAACACCATTCCAAACTTATTCGTAAATATCGTGACCACTGCGGCGAAATCAGTCGAATGTAAGGATGAATACTTGACGATACATTTGATGATGGTCGTATTGTATCTCGAATTGATAGAAGTAAGGAAAGTTGACCGTTGAATTTCCGACTGGGTGACTAGATGGTAACGTACTCGCTGAGAAACCGAAGGTTCTGAGTTAGATTCCAGACGCGATATTGGATGTGCTCTGTTGAGGAATCCCACAATAGAATGAAACAGCTGTCCAGTGCTTCCAAGTTTCCAATAGTTCTACGGTATATATTCATATATATGAAATGGATTTCTCATGTACATACCGTATAACGTCAGCTCAAATACAATATTTTTTGGCTTTTCATGGCTTGCAGATTGATGATATACTGTTACAATCTTAAGAAAACAAAAAACGGTATATTCACCATTGAATTTTGTGTAATTCACAGCTCTACTTCCTGTTCACACTTATTATCTACGTAAAACTATTTATCATAAATATACAGGCAGACAGATTCTGACCCAGTGTCTAGCTGAATGGTAACGTGCTGGCCATGGTACCTGAAGGTCCTAGGTTCGATCCCTGGAGGGCGGGGTGATGGGTTGGCACTGCTGAGGAGTCCTATAGTTGGACGAAACATCTGTCCAGTGCTTCCAGGTTTCTAATGTTCCTCCAATTGATGTTAGTCCATGATGAATTCCAGCCTAAAACCAATTAACCTCTACAAGCCTTCAGATAGATAGACAGATCATTTTTTTTCGTTAGTTCAGACATACGGAATAGTATTAGAATCATACAACCTAGTTGGTTTTCTGTTCTCTTATTTAGTTTATATTGAAATAAGTCTTATTTTATGATTTTTATTTTATTCAGAATCGCTATGGTCAGATTATAGAAATCGCTAAACGTTCAAAAACCAGATGGCGTCCAACTCCTCTAGATACAGTAGTGAGTTTTATTTCTAAATTTGATAATGCACTTTTATCGCATGAATAAGTTTCAATTAGTGTCATGATAAGTTTTAGATTTTATGGTTCCTAGTTCCAACTTCACCTAGAAGGTGTGAAGCTATCGCTCAGTGGTTTTGGGAATTGATTTTCAGCCAGTAGGTCACGACTTCGAATCCCTCTCCATCTATTTAGGTTTGTCAATCAGCTAGTATCACTTGCCCTCACAAAATGTATGAGAGCAGTGATTGAGTGCATTGTATTGTTTATTTGTTGTGTTGTAGTTGATTTCACGACAGTTCATTTCGCTTTAGGCGTCGTCTGTAGGATCTATGTGACTGTATGTGACTATGTGAGTGTATATCACTTGTACTGTTTCACAGAGTTATTTATCTTCAACGGTTAGGCAAATTTGAACCTCCTCTATCAATTAATTAATACATGTAAACGTAAAAATGATTGTTAACGGTTTGTTTGTTGTTTACACTGTATCTTCACGCAGTTAGGTTTGATAGGCTATATGATTTTGATTTTGCTTGTTATTGCATTTCACTGTTGTTCTGGCATTTTTTGGACTATTAATGCTGTACCGTTGACTCACGTGGCATTGATTTTAGTCTTTGTAATAAACAACAGTCAGGTTTCATTTCTCAGCCACTTGTGATTATCCTAATATTATATGCAGCAGTGTATGTCGTACAAAGCACGTATGTATGTGATATGGGAAAATTACCTCAGACGAATGTTTTATGGTCCTGTGGAGCTCATGTTATCTTGCCTAAGATATTCAGTTCCATCATATTCATATCGTCATCCAAGGAGATAGATAAATTAACACAGAATTACATCAGTTCACGGTGCAATACTTCATAAAAGTAGGCAAAGAAAAAGTCGACAAATCTATAGTGATATTAAAGTAGACAAAAACGTACGCGAGAAAATACAAAAATTGATGTAGTCTAATGACAATACTCAAAGCTCCAAGATTGTATACATTGACACTATTGTGATCCGTTTTAAATTCCATCGCCAAGAGTCTTCAACCATTATTTTTTTCTAGTGAATATTTGAAATTCATTGTTCAGTATATCGAATGCTTCTTAAATGTTTAAATATCTGTCACTGTCTATAACTCAGCTTTCAGGTATTTACATACAGTTGTACTTTGAGATCAGACTATTCATATAGGATGCTATTATGTCACATTAGTCGTCTTGTCTAATGTAGCTTTCCAGTAGATGGTATTGCACTGATAATGATGATGATGACAATGACTAGCTTGTCATTAAAACGTTTGTTATCAACATTTTCAGACCGGAGTGAACTTCTTGGTTGTGTTGTATTTCTCTGAGCTGGGTGGCTCAGTCATGAAGTTCTCATTATCTTTTAGCATCATCAGCACCAACTTCAAAGTGAAGTGACTTGTCAGTATCTCTTCATGAGTGTTTCAGTGGCTCCCCCTGACTAAGTGGTTTGTGATTGGTTGTTTCTTTTGATTGTTGTATATATATATATATATATATATATATATATATATATATATATATATATATATATATATATATATATATATATATATATAGTCTGAACATTGTCGGAAGATATATACCATTTGGATGGGGTCCTCGAGACGGAAAAAAAATACTGCTTGAGGACTGTTGATGATATGACTGAAAATCGGTCACAATGGTATCTTTTAAACCTTGAATATTTGCACTATTCGTTATCTTCAAGTTATTTGTTCTCTCACAAAACTTCGTCTACATTGGTATCACTCTTTTTGTATCCACCTGTTGTTTGTGCACTACTGTGATTTAGTTGTGACAACTTGAACCGATGCACTTGTGTTTGAGGTTCTACCTTAATTTTATGTCTGTTTGTCTGTTTCATTATTTTTGAAACTAAAAAATGATCCGAAATATTTTTTCACCAATTTTTTAAACCTTTTTTTGCACGTAAAAGGAGTTGGAGAAATTAGCATCGCGCAAACTGAAAATGGGAGCTAAATTTGCTATGCAATTGGCTGAGCGTCTCTACACAAAAGGTTTCATTTCATATCCTCGCACTGAAACTAATATATTTCCACCGGATATGGATCTTAAAAGTTTAGTACATGTTCAAACAGAGGATTCTCGTTGGTCTGGTAAGCATTTAGCAGACAATTATTATTGAACTGGTATAAAAGAAAAAAAGAATACGCAGTGACTTTTTTGTCGACTCCCGAATATGTACTGAGATTCAAATGTAAAAGGAAATCGCATGGCACAGCCAATCTGTTAGATTCTTACTCAGTTACTAGTTTTCAATTGTGCATAGCCTCTTTACACCTAACTTTGTGAATCACTGTACTTTTCAGTAAAAGTGGGCTAGCATAAGGAAATACCTGCACTAGTTATCTGACTCTTTATTGTCTAAATATCTCATTGTTGTTATTGGTGATGCCATAAGCAGGAATTTTCGGTAGACTTTCTTTGATCACTTTGAGTATTGATCAATATTAAACAATTGGAGCTGTGGCTCACTAGGGGTCTAGGCATTTGACTTTTTTAACCTATGGGTCACCGGTTCGCACCTTGCTCCACCTATCAAGGTCACAGCTGCCCGGCAGCAGCACCAGCCCTCACACAATAGGTGTGATTAATTGTCTACTGCACAAATGTGGGATATGTTTATGAGAGCACTTCACAGTTTTTATTCAAGCAATTGAGTAAAATGTGAATAGTAAAGTTTGTACGGGGTGACAAGGGAATATTCAATTACCATTTTGACTGTCTGATATAGCTGTGGTTTGGCAGACTTGTATTGATACTGGGTGATGATTGGAGGTGAAATGAAAATTTAGACCTCGCCCGGGTTCGAACCAGTGGTTACCAGGTTTCCGGATCGATGCTTTACCAACTGAGCTATGAGATCCAACTGCTGACCAGATTTTTATTTCACTTGAATCATCAAAGGTTTTGCCCAACTACCATATGAATTCGTGATGCGTTTCTACCGCTTGATCGTATTCACACTGGCTGGCTAGTCAGGACTTCTCATCCCAATCTAAATGTAACTGAATTAGAGAGGTGGAGCATCTTATTGATTTTCATTTTGAATCCAGTTGCAGTCCAAATTTTTATTTCACCTTCAATCATCACCTAGTATCAATACTAATCTGCCAAACCACGGCTATCTTAGATAGTCAAAAATGATAATCAATATGATGCTCCCCTCTCATTTTAATTTAGTTAGGTGTAGAGTCCGATAAGAAGTCCTGACTAGGCAGCCAGTGTGAGTACGATCAAGCGTTAGTAATGCGTCACAAATTCACATGACACTCGGACAAAACCCTCGGTGATTGAAGTGAAATAAAAAAGTGTTCAGCAGTCGCGCATCATACCTCGGTTGGTAGCGCACCGGGCTGGAAATCCTGTGGTCACTGGTTCGAATCCGGCCGCGGTCTAAATTTTCATTTCACCTTCAATCATCACCCAGTAACAATATTCAGTTAGTTGAATTATGCGATAAGCAACGTTGTAATTGAGAATGATGTTCTATACGAAGGTAAGGAAATCAGTTGATGTGTGTTAGCTTGAATCAACCGAGGTGTTGGAAACCATTATTGCGTATGCCTACGGGCTGATCGTCTTCACATGTTGAATAATTGAAATGTGAGTAGGGTAGATTAGTCCCGTGGTTGGTCAGATAACAACAACAACCTATGAATCCATCTTGTCGAAGGTATGTCTAATTCGAGTAATGTCTTACCCTAAATCCCTGTTTCGTTTCGTACGTGAGCTTTTGGGCGCCACTCAAGACTACAAGTGAATAGGATTTCAGCATCATATATTTATTGCCATAAATAATCATCATCTTGTCATGAATTTACTCTTTTTTTTCCTTTGTTTCACCATTTCTTCAACTAAGGTTTTGCCATGAAAATTCTTGAACGTGGTCCTAATCCAAGAAATGGAAAGTCAACTGATAAGGCTCATCCACCTATACATCCATTGAAGGCGGGTGATCAACTTCAGGTGAAATTATAAAATTTGATTTTGTTAATTTGTATTTGACATAAGTTTGTTAATATTTTTCTTGGTATGAGAATGTAGTGATCTTCTTACATTAAGATCTATGTACTGTGTTACTCAGTTTGAGTATAATTTCTTCTGACAGTGCATAAACTGAATTATTATCAAATTCATGAGCACTTTTTTGTCATTTAATAAGTTATTCTGTTTTTAAGGAGATGAAATTACAGTTTTCTTAACTCCTAAGGTTTACATTTCAAAATACTAGAGTTTGAGACATTGTATGCTCTTAATAAAAGTATAAAGTTTTTCAATCTCATGATAATTCGTATGTTACATCCTCTAAGTACTGAGTTTTGTTCTGAAGACATTTTCAGTATATTGGTGAAAGCGTCATTGAAATGAACAACGAATATTCTTTTCGATGACTTTTTCTTCAGATTCTAGAGTTATATGATTATATTGTGTAGTTTTGTGTAAAAAAAAAACTGAGATTTTATTCATTTACCGAGTTCTAATCAACGTGCCAAAAGATATCCGACTTTGAATCCTTTAAAATGCAGAAACAGTGGCAATCAGGATTCAACAGCTGAAGTTATGTGTTAAAAAGAAACAGACGTTGTCGCTACAAATACCTTGCACCCATTTGGGATTCGCATATTCCTTAGCATTCTACTTCATGTAACCTGATTTTCAACTCTCATACTATAGATATCCCCTTATCCCTATAATCTCAAGTAATTTTATCACATTCTTGTAGCCTGTTTTGTTCCCTAAGTTGAGTAACACTTTATGAAATTATTATTCCTCGAATTCTCTATCTTAGTTTATTACGTCCTATTCTCATGCACAGCTTCCTTTTGTTTTATTAAACTATCATTTTATCGTATAACATAAGCTATATAATTATTTAGACAATTATTGGGCATCTGAGGGTGACATGGAGGAAATCATATGAGGAAGAAATGAGAGCTTCTGGGATGTCATGGAGCCGGGTTCAAAAGACTGCAGAGAACAGAGTGCACTAGAGACGTGCTACTGAAGCCCTGTGTTCCACTAGGAACCCAAGGGATAAATCATAATAATAGTAATAATATTAATAATAATAATAAATAATAATAATAATTGATTTTGACATTGTATTTGAGGAAGTCTAAGAGTGATCAGACCAAAACATGGCATTAGTCTCCGAAATGTCTGACTGTTGGTCTGTGGCATGTAAGAAGATGTAGATTGCCTGGTTGGAGTTCCTGAGACCATAAGAATCAGTTGTGGAGAATTCTTGTTTATATCACTGAAAAATGATCACAATGGTGCAAATGTATTCACTCGTTGACGTCTTCTAAAGCGTGAACATCTTCACTAAGCTTGGTTTGGAAATTCCTTTTCCTCCCATACACTTTTACCGACTTTGATATAAATCTTTTTCTACCAACTTGGTCTTTGGATGCTACTGGAAAGTGTGTCAACTTGAACTGATGCCACTTGTGGGCGAGGTTTTACGCTGGCTCTGTCTGTCCGTCTGCTTGACAGTGTGGCTATGAAACACAGCCATTAAAAATGAGCGGCTGGAGAAGGCTACAGATGTTCAACCTTCGATTTGTACTGTATATACTCTGGGTGTCATAGTACGTCGGCAACTTTGGAGTCAGGTGTAGAGTTTTATGCGGAAAAGATTATTGAGTTATTGGAATTTCGCACCTTTATCAGCTCAAATGGCTGAGATATGTTACGCATACCTAGCCGCTATCTCCTCTGCCGCACATTGTCACCTGGAGTAAGTTTAAGTTGTGAAAAGTCGAAGGCAGTTGATGAAGTCTTTGACTGTCCGTCTTAGCCGTAGAGGGGAATGCACATCTCCTGGTTATAGTCGACGTGACAACCGAAATCAGTGATTGGTAACTTTAGTTGTTATGGCTTACAACCAATCTCAATGACGCAGATGTATTCACACGTTATTTTCATCTTAATTGTCACATGGTAATGCCAGGTTCCATGTTAATAGTTACTAATTAATACAGTAAATAAAGCTGGGACTCATTAGATCAGACAGTCGGATTTCAACTTCTGAATCACTGTTTCTAACCTTCATCCAACTATTAAGTTTTGCGTATCAAGTATTTTCCCTGAGTGTTAAGCATTAAGTGTGACTCATGTTCTAGTACACAAACATACTGCATATTGGCATGTCATCATCAGTTCATAAATGTACCATACCTGACTTCAGGATGGTACAAGACGGCATGTCTTTAATTGAATACGTATTTGATTGGACAAACTAATTGTCTACTAATTTTCATTTAGTGTACTTGAAGTTAACAACATCAGTCATTGAAATTGGTTTACTTCATAGTTAAGTGGTTAATATGTGTTCCCCCCAAAAAGACTGCCAATTCCAATCCATTCCGTTTTCATAAGTACAAAGTGAAAAAAAATAAAAGTTTGTTATCTGGTATTTTCTAGTTTACAGTTATTGATGACTTGCTATGAAAAGGGTCTTCAAATTTACTTGAAGATATGTCTAAATTGGATGGATTTTGTTACCTACTGAGTTATGCTGAGATAATTAGAGGAGGTACAGTTAATACGCTTTCACCTTATATTTCTTGATAGTGATATCAGCACTTTTAAGTGGTGAATGTTAGAAGGGATGATATACATGCTTTTTAAATTCCACTGCAGTCAATATATTAAACAAATGAAAAGAATGAAATTGCCTTCGTTCTTTTGAATTAAAGATTTCTTTTCATAAGATTTATTGTCTTATAATTTTTAGGGTGATGAAGCACGTCTATATGAACTGATAACACGTCATTTTCTAGCTTGCCTTTCTGCAGATGCAGAGGGTGCTGAGACTTTGGTTCGTCTTTGTGTCGGTAAACCATCTCTTCCGAGAACATCTACTCCTAACATGGGTACAACACAATTACTTACATCGGAAGATGGAGAAATATTCGAGTCAAAAGGCCTTATGATTTTAGCTCCGAACTATTTAGAAGTTTATATTTACGATCGATGGACTGAAAAGGATATGCCAATATTTCAGTTAGGTGAATGGATTTTACCACATAACATAGAAGTAAGTAATTTATCGGTCTTCCGTTTTTTCTGTAGATTTTCAACTTCTGTTGAGCGTTAATATAAATTATTTTGGGGTACTTCTTGTTCTACTCTTTTCAAGTGCATATTCAGTAGTAATGGTATTACGGTAATTTGCTTGGTTAGGGCTAGCAGAGGAATCTAGAGCACGCGTTTCGTCCTGTTTGAGACTCGTCAGCTTAGTGTGACTCTGCACCCCAGTGCGGAGTGTTGTTCTCACTGAGACTCGAACCTCGTACCGTCACTTCAAGCGCCAAGGCATTATCCACTATACCACGAGGAACGATAGCCACTTCTTGTACAACGGGTATTAGCTATTATTATCTGTTGATATGCTTGTAGTTCTCCGTTGTTTTATTGGATCGAATTATAAGTATATCAATAAATAGCAATAATGGTATTGTTGTAAATTTAATAACCGTTGTGCTTTTTTCTGAATTTTTGGCTTAGATGCTCACAGGTCAAACAAGTCCACCACCATTACTGACAGAAGCTGATCTTATTTCTCTCATGGATCGTCATGGAATCGGTACAGACGCCACGCATGCAGAACACATTGAAACAATTAAACAGCGACTTTATGTTGGCTTAGAACAGAATAAATATCTTATTCCAGGTCAATTAGGAATGGGATTAGTTGAAGGTATGCCTTTTTCGTTGAATGATTGATGAATTAATTTACTTTAGTTAGGTTTTGTATTAGAATTATCTTAGACAAATGTAAGGCACAAAGGATAACTTTAAAGAGGCGTTAGATATTGATAGTCAATCGCCAGTAAACGCTAGCCTGCGTTCGGTGCTTGTCGGTACTCATCAGCCTAGTGTATCTACACCTACTAGGAAATTGGTGAAGTCTGAGACAACCACTAAAGTATTCAGGCTGTGACTTACCCCTCTGTAGGACTGAATTATACTCACGAATTGGTCACCAGTGGGTGGGTCAGAAGTGGACCGTAAAACATACTGATCAAGTATTCAATGATTTTATTCTTGATCAGAATTGCACAGAACGTGTATTTGCTGTTTTTTGGTTGAGAAAAATGACTTACGTTAACCACATTCAAAGCTGAAACCATTTGACTAGACGTGAAGATCGACAATTAAAGTACGTCCTGCTTCTCAAAAAGAAATGCTTACAGTTCATGTTTATTAGACTTACGTTTGATTTAGTTGTGACCTTTTTATTAAGCGTCTCAACTAACGATACTACATCATCTTGAATTTCTCCTAGCTCTTTAGCCTTCGACAACGATCTGAGTCCACAGAACAGCATCCGTGATCTCTTTAAACCACGCTCCAAATTACATATTGGAGCCTTCAGTGTCCGCATCCTCCGTCGAATCGGTCAACAGGCTTCGTTGGCAAAGACTCTAGCAACTCGGGCATGGATGTGTGCTGTGTTTGTGAGACACGCATACAGGACCCAAGTGTGGTTATTCACCTGACCTCTCCTGACCAATCTGGTGAATCCGCAAAATTCACCCTTCGAGTTTCTGGAGATTCGATAGCTAGCTCTCGTGGTCTTGCAGGTGTAGGTATAGCATTAAGCACCAGGGCAGAAAACTCACTACTAGACTGGATCCCAGTTGATAGTCGCCTCTGCGCTATGAGGCTGAACGGCACAGTGAGAACTAAAAGGAATAGTGAGACTCGCCGTTGTCTCTTTGTAATCTCTGCTTACGCTGACTAGCTCGGATGAAGTGAAGGACGAGTTCTACCATAAACTGTCTAACCTCCTCTCGAAAGCCAAACGTTCGGACGTGGTGGTTGTTGCAGGTGACCTCAACGCACAGGTGGGTAGACTGAGTGAGGCAGAAAGGCACTTAGGTGGCACTTTCGGAATCCCAGCTGAACGTACAGATAACGGTGATCGCCTATTACAACTATGCTCAGATAACCGCCTATTTTTAGCCAGCACAATTTCAGACATAAAGAAAGGCACTGTCTGACCTGGCGTCCACCGAGCTCGACTCAGCGATGGACACAGATAGACCACATTGCTATTAGTCATCGCTGGAGAGGATCGGTGGAAGACTGCCGCTCCTTCTGGAGTACGTGTTTGGACAGCGATCATGCGTTGGTCCGAGCACGTATATGCCTGCGTCTCAATGGACGTAGAAAAAATTTGGCAACAAAACCACTACGAGTTCTGCTGGACAACGAAAACACCAAAGCCGTGTTCAGTGAGAAGTTGGCTAGGCAGTTATCGGAACAAAAGACTGTCACTCATCCAGAAGAAGCTTGGTGCCATCTTCAGTCTACTGTAAAAGCAGCACTGAGACTGTAGCCGACTCCAAGATAATGGCTAAAAAGAGCCAGTGGATATCAGCAGCTTCTTCCAAACTAATGGATGCACGTGAATGCATCCCTGCAGGCTCTGAGTACAATGAAGAGCGAGCGCAACTTAAAAATAGACTGACGAAAAGTCTGCGCAACGATCGTGAACAGTGGTGGGCAGAAGGCTAAAGAGATGGAAAAGGCAGCGGCGATCGGTAACAGTAGACAGTTATTTAGACTTATTAAGGAGACTGGGGGGAAATGGTCAACAACAGTTAGTGAGGTTATAGCGGAGAAGGACGGATCTGCGATTCACTCGCAGGGAAGGCGACTGGGACGATGGGCAGAACACTTCGAGGAACAGTTTAACTGGCCTCCAGCCACCATTGCGTTGCCCGCTATCCAGTCGGACCCTGAATGGGACATAGAGACAGGTCCCCCAACACTAGAAGAAGTTGAGAAAGCGGTAGGTAGCCTGAAACGGGGAAGGGCAGCAGGACCAGACGGACTACCTGCTGAGGTATACAAGAATGGTGGTAGATCTCTTAGTCAGGTTAACGGAAGTGTTAGCCAGTATATGGGAATCAAATACGATCCCCTCCGACTGGTCTAAGTCACTCATCATCCCAGTCTTCAAGAAAGGCGAGAAGTCCTCTTGTGATAACCACAGAGGAATCAGCCTGACGAACATTATTATTTTTTTATTATTATTAGTCCCTTGGGTTCCTAGTGGAACATAGGGCTTCAGTAGCACGCCTCCAGTGACCTCTGTTCTCTGAGATCTTTTGAACCTGGTTCCACGACAGCCCAGAAGCTCTCATTTCCTCCTCGCACGACCTCCTCCATGTCACCCTCGGACGTCCAACTCGTCGCTTCCCATGGGGATTCCACTCGAGGGCCTGACGCGTGATGTCCTCAGTCGGCCTTCTCAGTGCATGGCCAATCCATCTCCACTTCTTCCTGCATATTTGTTGCGTGATAGGTTCTTGGTTGGTTCGTTCCCAGAGTTCCTTGTTGCTTATTTTTTCTGGCCATCTGATCTTCAGCAGCGAGCGTAAGCAGTTGTTGATGAATGTCTGTAGTTTATTGGAAATGCCTTTCGTGACGCGCCAAGTCTCTGAGCCATACAAGAGCACTGACTTGACGTTGGTGTTGAAAATCCGTATCTTGTTCCGCATGCTGAGTGCAGAAGATCTCCACACTGGTTTCAGGCTAATGAACGCCTGTCTTGCTTTTCCGATTCTGACTTTGACGTCCTCGTCCGTCCCGCCTGTAGTTGAAACAGTGCTTCCTAGATAAGTGAAGGAGGTTACTTCCTTCAAGTTTCTCCCGTTGACGGTGATTGGAGTTTGTTGTTGTTGTTGATGGTGGTGGTGCGGTATCTTCATCACTTCTGTCTTCTCTATATTCACCTGAAGTCCCGTCTTAGCTGCCTCTTCTGTCAACTTGTTAGTTTTTGCCTGCAGATCTTCAAGTTTATGTGACATTAGGCATAAGTCATCGGCGAAATCCAAGTCTTCTAGGTTCTTTTCCGTCGTCCAGTGTATCCCCCTCTTCTCGCTGCCTACTGTTTGCTGCATGATCCAGTCCACCACAATAAGGAATATCATGGGGGATAGTAGGCAACCTTGTTTCACTCCTGTCTTCACTTCAAAGGCATCACTGAGCTTCCCATTGTGGATTACTTGGCATGTGGCATCTTCATATAGTTGTTGAATGAGGCGGATAAAGGTTTGCGGTACTCCGTAGTATTGAAGCAGTTTCCAAATTACTTCTCGGTCGACGCTGTCAAAGGCCTTCTCAAAGTCGATGAAGTTGAGGTAGAGAGCTGATTGCCATTCTACGCTCTGTTCTATGATGATACGAAGCGTTGCAATTTGGTCAGCACATGATTTGTACTTCCTGAAGCCTGCCTGTTCCGGTCGCAGTTTTGAATCCAGTGCGTCTTTAAGCCTCTCCAGGATGATGCGGCTTAATATTTTACTTGGGGTGGACAGGAGAGTGATTCCGCGCCAGTTCTTGCAAGCACTGAGGTCTCCCTTCTTCGGCAGTTTGACAAGGTAACCCTTCTTCCAATCGTCAGGTACCTTCTCTTCCTTCCACACCTTCTGCAATAGTGGTGTGAGCATGTCCGCTGTTGTCTCTGCATCTGTTCTCAGTGCTTCTGGCGGTATTCCATCTGGTCCTGCTGCTTTCCCGCATTTCAGTAGCTTTATGGCGTTCAGGACTTCCATTTTCGTTGGGGGATTATGTTCACTTGTAATTCAGCGGCTGCAGGTGGTATTTCTGGACGAAGTGCAGGTGGTGGTCGATTCAAGAGCTTCTTGAAGTGGTCGGCCCATCGTTTCCTCTGTTTCTCTTCTTTTGTAATTAAATTTCCTTCTTCATCTTTTATTGGTTTCATCTGTGTTGGTCTCTTCCCTGATAGCAACCTGGTTATTTGATACAATGTCGTCAGGTCTCTCTTACCTGCAGCCTGTTCTGCTTCACTTGCCAGTGTTCGTAGAAGTGTCTTTTGTCTTTGCGTGCACTCTTCTTCACTTCTTTGTCCAGTGTTTTATACATTGTGCTCAGTTCCTCTTGTCGTTGAGCATCCTTGCACTGGTTTATCTTCTGCTTCACCATCCTCCTCTCCTCTATCAGCTTCCAGGTATCCGTCGAGATCCATTCCTTGTCTTCTTTCTTCTTCCTTCCTAATACTGTTGTGCAGGTTTCTTTCCACATAGCTTTCAAAGACTTCCAGTGTTCTTCCACACAGGTTTCTTCAGGGATGTCCCTCGATGTCTCCCATTTTGTCTTGATGGCTGCTTGAAGATCTCCTTTGTAGTTTCATCCTTCAGTTTCCGAGTGTTGTACTTGAATTGAGGTCTATCACCAGCTTCCTTGAAGGCTTTTAACTTGATTTGGAAGGTTCCTTGCACTAGATAGTGGTCTGAACCTACATCTGCTCCTCTTCTTGACCTTGTGTTAAGTAGACTGCGTCTCCATTTTCTTGAGATTGAGATAAAGTCGATTTGATTTTTAGTGTGTCCATCTGGTGAAATCCATGTCGCTTTGTGGATATCCTTGTGCCTGAACACACTGCCTCCAATCACCAAATCGTTGAATGCACAGAATTCTGCAAACAATTCTCCATTCTCATTCATTTCACCTAGCGCCTCTCGACCCATGGTTAGTTCTCTTCCCGTGTTGTCCCCTCCCAGTTTGGCATTCATGTCGCCCATTAGAATTTTGATATCGCCAACTGACGTCTTGTCCAGTGTTGATTGAAGTTGTCTGTAGAATTCCTCCTTTTTCTCTTGCTCTGCATTATTTGTAGGTGCATAACATTGTATGATTGTGACCTTTCTTCCTTTTGAGTTGAATCTTGCTGTCATGATCCTGGAGGAGATTGGTTCCCACTGCATGAGAGCCTTCGATGCTCTTGAGGACATCATGATAGCCACTCCCTCAGTGTGCTCGTGGTTGGCGTCTGGGTGACCGGAGTAGATTATTGATTCTCCAGTTGACAGTTTGGAGAGTCCACTCCCATTCCATCTGCTTTCGCAAATCCCAAGCACTT